CCTCAGGTATCTTCAAATCAGTCTTCAAGCCTCGACACCCAGTCTACCTGGCCGCGTTCAATGTCCGCACTCTGAAACAAGCAGGACAACAAGCTACTCTTACACTCACACTGAACGCGCTTGGCATTAATGTGTGATGTGTCTCAGAAACGAGAACTCAAAATGCAAGCACAGTGATTGAGCTAACTGCCCGATCAGTCTACACTCGCATCCGGCTGCGCACCTCTAGTGATTTAAAGGCTTCTTCGGCCGGATGTGCAAGGGTTGGTGTCGTCCTAAGACACCGCGTGGAAGTATCTTCGGGTGAGTGGATACCTGTCGATAGTCGCCTATGTGCGGTTCGCCTGGAAGCGTCTGTGAAGTGGTCCCACAAGCAGGAAGTTGACAGATGTGTGTTTGTCATGTCTGCTTACGCCCGAACTGACTGCAGTTCTGACACTATCAAGGATAATTTTTACGACGCCCTGAACGCCCTGCTGCGGCGAGCTAAAAGCTCAGATATCGTGGTGGTTGCCGGAGATATGAATGCATAAGGACAGACTTACCGCACCTGAGTTAATTAGGGGATCGACATGGATTGGAATCGGTATGTACGGACGATGACGAAAGATTGCTTTAGCTGTGTGCTGATCGCAATCTGTTTTATGCAGCACTGACTTCCGAAACAGCCAAAGTCGTCTGGCCACATGGCATCTTCCAACGGCATACCGGCCACAAACTCAAATCCTCACGTTGCCAGTGGCTACCAATGGCGCGGATCAATAGCTGACTGCCGGTCATTTTGGAACACATTTGTGGATTCGACTACGCGATCGTCCGGAGTCGTTTCTCACTACGTTTTCCATGGCCGCGTAAGGTGCGGACAAGTCGCTCGGTAACTGGAAGACTTGGAGATCCTGATGTCAGACGAACCTACCGGACTCGTCTTCTAGTCTCATCCAAATGCTCTACCATCAGATGTGAGCGCATACTGGGACGAGATCACCACCTCTGTATAGTACTGGGAACTTCGCCTGTGGCACAGCACCACCAGGCGCACACAAGCACTGGATATCAGACCGAACAGTGGCACCGCTTGAATCTCGAAGAAATATCCCAGCCGGTCCCGAACAAAACCTGGTGCGAAGAATTGCCACACGTCAAGTGTGAGTGGAGGTGCGAGCCGACCGTGAAGTATGATGGACACAGGAAGCCAAGGAAATGGAAGAGGCCCAGAAAGCCTGTAGTGCCCGAAGATTATCTCAGTTGACTCATGCGACCGGTCCCCGGAAACCACTTGTGAGTGAAACTATTAAGCATCAGAATGGAGCCACCATCTCGAATAAGGAACGCCTCGACCAATGGGCTGAATACTTCGAACAGCAACTGTCGTGGCCACCAGCCGGTACTCGTCTAGAGCCCAGAGATGAAGTAGAACCCTGGAAAGTGAACGTGGAACCCCCTACGATCTCGGGGGTTTACGACTGCACACGTCCTCTCAAGCGCCACCGAGCTCCTGGTACGGACGACCTCTCACCAGCACTGTTCAAAGACGGGGGTGAAGTCCTCAGTCAGCGTTCGTCTGATCTGTTTGCTTGCATTTGGGAAAAGGCGTTTGTCCCAGACAACAGGGGAGAGTCGTTGATAGGGCCCAGTTTCAAAAAAGGAGTGCGAAGTGAGTGTGGTTACCACAGGGGGTCAGTTTGACTCCCATCGTAACGAGACTGTTGGCATCACTTGTGCTTCGTCGCCTTACGGTGGCTCGAGAGATATTGACTCGAGAACAGCAAGCGGGATTCCGGCCTGGTAGGGGTTGCGTTGACCAAATCTTCACACTCCGTCAGGTGCTAGAACAACGCCATATGTATGGGCGACCCACAATACTAGTCCTGGATTTCCGAGGCGAATTCAACTCGCTTGATCGATCTGTACTTTTTGATACGCTTGCCCACCAAGGAATAACCTGGAAATTCGTTAACATAATAGGCCCGGACGCGTGAGTATACAAGGAGCTCTCCAAAGGCTTTCATACATAAAGTGGCGTCTGTAAGGGATGTCCACTCTCTCCGTTCTTATTTAGCTTCGTGATCGGTGGAATCAGGAGACGAGCGCTGGAAAAACCCTGGTTTTCAAATAGCCTGTGAAGAAAACCCTGTCGATCTGAAGTACGCAACGACATCATTATCATCTTCGAAGAGAAGGTGCAGGTGTCTTTGGATGAACTGACAAAAGTCATCCTATCCTTTGGGATGCACTTTGCACCCACAAACATTATGCTCATGCTCGTGGACATGCAGTCACTGAACTCACCACTTAAAATCCACAGAGAGGTACTGGAAGCTGTGGAGAGTTTTACGTATCATGGAAGTTGTATTTGTTCTGATTGTAGTGTGACAGATGAGGTCAATGCACGAATCTGTAAGGTCCGGGTCGCGTTTGCCACTCTGTAACGTCAGAGTGGTGTATCCCTGAATCTGAAGGGACGTGTGTATCAAGCTACGGTATGGGCTGTTTTGTTGTATGGCTGTCAGACTTGGCCTATTCGAGCAGCGGAACTGAGACGTCTTCAGGTGCTCGACAATCGTTGTCTCAGAACCAAAGCTCGTGTGGGTTGGTGCCGGCGTATCCGTTACGAGCCAGCTAGAAAGCGAGTTTTCGGTTGTGCACCGGGTACTACGATTGAAGAATGTGTCCAGCACCAGAAGCTGTGTTGGTTGGGACATGTGTTGCTTGTGCCTAAACATCTTTTGCCGGAGAATGTTGTTTTCCATGCCTAACTTAAAGTGGCGTAAGCAAAAGGTAGCTAACCCTTGACTTGGCGGAGGGGTATGAAAGAAATCACGAAGCGTTTGGGTGTGCGGGGCTTCTCGCTTTCCACGATGGAGACCGAGTGATCCCTACTGCGCCTGGTTGGAGACACTACAATATATGATAGGTCGTGTGTGTCCGATCCCACAACCGAAAGATACTGCGCATCCTGGCTGCGTTTCGGGGTAGAGTTCATTCCTGTTCATCCATTCATCTTTGGATGAAATGTGTTATCTGCTGATTCGTCAATCTGTGGTATCTACTGCTGACCCGCTCCAGTGCCTAGTGTCGGAGAGAAAAGACTCACAGAAGGGAACACAACAGCTGTATTCCGAACAAGCGAGTGAGTAAGAGAGCAAAAGTTACAACGGCCCCACGCTATTTAAAGAGGACTTTCTGACATTGATCCAGGCTGTCTGATAGGCGTTAGTGATCACCCATCAACATCGATCGTGCCTCTGTGAAAAGCCTGAATGCTGATCACATTCGGTCGTGCTTCTGTGGCCGCAAGAACACTCATCAGGTCTTGCTGAATTGATTGAATGATTGATTGGCCTGGATGCTTGCCGGCTTTCCAGTTGAGTTTTTGGTGGAGCAGTAGGTTTCGGGCGTTCTGAAGTTGCTTTCAGAGTCTGACCTTCCTGATAAAATGCATGACGAGTCTGTCAGAACCGATACCTTCCAAAAGGAGCTAACATCATGCTATCATTGCTTTTCAAACATTAAAATTGTGGGATCGTTTGGAACATCTGGATGTACGGCTGATATATGTACACAAATACTTTTTTCGGGTGCGTCCGCGCAACAAGTGTGCAGGGACAGCCTAGGGGAGATTCACAAAATGACGAAAATGGAATATTTGGATGCTGCTCTGACCAGATTGTTGGACGCTAAATTCCGAGAATAGTTGTTGAGTACCTTCACCCCGGTCCACACTTAATTAATAAGTTATTTCCCCTCCAAGATTGACCTACTCTGACCCAGGTCTGCCGGTCAATGACATGCTGCGTGCTGTTTTCGCCCCTGAGTTCGCAGATCAACTAACTCGGCTAAAGGGTGAAGATAAAAGTCCCATCTCAAGCACAGAGTTACCAAGGCTGACAAAGGGTGAGGTAACTGTTTCACTTTGGTACTTATCACCTTAGACGCAATGTGTTCTGTGACCACACACTGTAGTGGATTCCACTGAGAAATCAACTCAGTATCGTTTCAGGAGAGCTTTTGATCGAACTATGGAAGCCGAAAGCTGCGACATGAGAGGGCCGCCTTGCAGCGGATCGATAAAAGTCTGTGATTATACCAGTCTTATTGATACATTTATATTTTTGCACTCACCTCCTATCCTTTGAACAAGCAGCATGTCCTAAGCAAGAGGCGGCTGGTAATTAGGTACGGCGTTCGGTTATAGTACACATGTCGTGAGGTTGGGTGGTCAGGGTACTCTGAGACACAGTCAGTTAGTTGGCACACATGCCTAAACTAATTTAAGGCTGTAACTGTTGACCTCGTCCGGCTGCAAGAGGTTTTGAGAAAAGTTTGAAAAAAGGCGAAAAAAGTTACGCTGAAATTTTCTTGGGTTGCTACCTTTGGCCAACCGTAGCCACCAGTGGCAAACATAACATGCCATCTCTACTTGCCACCCTTGGTCGCCGATGGCGTGCGTACTGGGTTATGGGGCAAATGTTCTTTCAATGAATAATCACAGATTTCCCTGAAAGGGACTTCGTGTTTTTGCTGAGTGACTGTTATTGTGATGAATCTAGTCTAACAATACCGGTTATCGCTAAGCTCCAGGATGAACGCTAACGCTATCTTTTCACATCATTAGGTTAATATTACACCTACAGAAGACTTGAATATTAAGGAAGTGGAGCCCGTTCTTTGTGTATTGTTTCAGCGGAATGTGGACCTTCAGACGTGCCCTTCGGGAGATGCGTCAATATTTTCCTTGTTCATCTTCCCTGTGGCTTAAATCTGACTGACAACAGTTTCCCCTGTTTAGTGGAGACTATTTAGGGCCGTTAACCACTACAGGTTGATCACGTTCCAGCACTTGACTTGCGTGGAAAGAGAACGGGTGTCTGGCGATATGCAAGAGGAGCGACAACAGCCTCAGATACTGACTCCAAACAGTTACACAAATGACCGGATAAAGAGTCAATTATCAGCAGTCAAACTCAGTGGAAAAATACCAGATACGAAGGAATACTCACCAAAAGACTACCGGTTATCTCCAAGGTAGATTGTCCATGAATAAATCTACAGGAAACTTCATCCAATGTGCAAGAAATAATCCGGAAAGTATGGTGTGATTTTTTAAAGCGCTGGACGAGGTCCTGTTGGTCATCTTTCAGTTTTCTGATGCACGACATAATTAAACCGAAGCAGCTGACAGAATCAGAACAGCCCAAGATTCTAGCAACCGGCACGGCAGATGTCCGGCTTCTGATTGGCCGACAATTCTGCGGTAACTCGGGTCCGGCTGTATGTCAAGGTCAGATTATGGGCCTAAAGACAGTGTTCATTATCCGCACAATGTTTTCAATTGCAAATTCTTTAAAATATGAGTAAAACGTTCTACGCTAAAATGTTGCATCTTCTTGCATATGTATGCCGCATGTGTTCGTATTTTTGCAGCTCGTCAAATTTCACTGCACACTGAAGCAACCATGCGTCTGCCTAAACAGTCTTGTGGGATAATTTCCCAGCATTGTTGAATCACCAGGATGCTTGACGGGGCTTAAAAGTTTGGACTGGAACTCTAAACTCAATCACTCGATTGCTTTTGTCCATCAAGGACAGGCCATAACTTTCAAAATTTCAATTTCATTGTGCGGATACAGAGAGCCATCAGGATGAGAAATAGTGTACATGTAGTGTCCGCAGACGATCATCGCAGCATCCGGCAGTTTCACCTTGCATTTCTGTTGCATTCCGTCCTCTGGTGAAACTGGGCGTCATTTCCTCAACTTTTATTTAAGGGCTACCCGTCATGTTTTTAGTTTACTCAATTGAGTCGTAGAAATTTTCTGGATCTTGGCACCCTTCAGAAGAGCTGAATTCATCATCCTCGCTTGACCCAGTTGTAAATTTCTGTGCCCGCACAGCGGTTCACCTCCGTGTTATTATTCTGTCATCGGTCATTTGTTAACTAACAAGGTAGTAGAAGACAAAGTTTTTGGATTCAATGGTTCAGGGCAGCGGACCCGCAACCTCAACGAATCCAGCAGTTATGGTTCCCAATTTTTACCCTCAGGCTAAACCACGGTAACAAATGCATTCCAGGCCGGCGAAAAAATTCACTCCGATGAGAACTTAACCTCACTATGACTTTTTATCATGTTTCGTCTGTTTCGGATCCAAACCAGAACGCGTTTACTGGGCTATTCCATCGTACACCCCCCTCTGAGAGGCCCAGATCAATCTCAATCTCGTTACTTTAGCTTCGCCAACCAAGCGTAGCACACAATTGTCATAGGTTCCAAGCTCCTTGACTCGACCCACAGATCATTAAACGACGAACAAATTTTGACTGCTCTTCACAAAATTTTGTGTCCGACACCAGATGCTGTTCGCGATTTCGTCTTGGCATTGTCGCGCTTGCTATACCGCAGTAGGCAACATTGCTACCTCTGTTTCCGGCATTACACGCGCCAGGATGGCCTTAACGCTCTCCGTGGGCTTGGTTCTAAACCCTTTACAGCTGAATTGGATTTAACTGAACTGAATTTCCAGGCCATGATTCACAGAAGTATTTAGGCTGCTGATGCCCGCTTTGAGGCTACTCACCACCTTGTACGATATCTGTAAATGCCTCTACTCCTTTGTCGACTTATAAAGTCGCTTTCGAAAAATCTTTTTATTTTGACTTTCTCCCGAACTATATGCCAAGCCTTTGGCACGCACTCGCAATACAGCCTTCCATCCCGCCTTTCGGAACGCTGTTAGATTTAAACTTCAAATGCAAAGACCAAACAGCTACCCGAAATGCAGCTAACACAAGACATATTTTACGGAAGACTCCCAAAGCCCCGTCAACTATAGCCCCACCCAAATTATCCCGATGTTTGGTCATGGAACGCACACTAAATTGCGTAATCCAGTTAATGCTACCTTACCCTTGGATTGGCTTTCATCCCTGTAACCGTGATACTACTGATGGAGAAGCACGGGAGTATTATGTGTTGTTCGTAGAATTTCGCTTTGCGTCTATTGAAAAAGGGAGATCTGTTACATAATTCGTGGAGCCGCTTTGTAACATTTGCTTGGATTTGACCGACGAATGAGTGGAGTCAATGAATCTCCAGGAAAGTTCCAGAGGACTCGTTCGGGAGAAGATCGGTGTCCAGCTTTTGTAACTAAGATGCAGATTAGAATTATGCTTCCCTGTTCAGTGGTCTGTAGCCGGGCAGTTGGCATTTCCTAACAAACAACTCCGCAGCGAATGCCTTCTTCCTTTCACCCCGGCTTCTCTGATATCTAACGGATCTCCAGCGTTTGAAAATTTCCTGCCTCACCTTTGGGAAATCGATTTGAACTACTCTAATCGACAACACTACAACAACTGTACAAATTTGGTCACGCACACTTCCAAGAAGTATGTAGCTTTCTTGAGCAAATAAAACTGGAATCAGCTTCGGTGAAGGAGTTATACAGCACAATTGCCCAGGAATTTCACGAGGCTGAGGCGTTGTTGGTCTCAAAAACCCAGCGCGCAATCGGATGGACTAAAATATACTTAAATGTATTCGGCTTCTTAACTGGAAAAGAGGCCCTAACTGTGTTTTTTTCAGAAAACGACCACGGGTGACACGAAAGACGAACTGGCTTTTCGTAGAATGTGAGACAGCTGTAAATCAGAAATCAACCAATGGAACATAGGAAGACAAGCCACCAAACTAAACCCCACATGGGAAAACAAAAATGTGCTATTTAATCACATCGCCGGAGAAACAAACCAACGGCTAAATCCTTGAGGGACAGCAACGGGGATCTCCCAGGTCACTCTGGAATGGTATCTGGAGTCTACATAGAACATTATGTAGGCCTGTATTCTGCCAAGACGAACTCGTCACATCCGTCCTTGTCAAAATGTGACCGGGAACTGCCGCTCACCCACGTACTATTCACTCAAGAGGACATTCGTAAGCTCTTGCATGAGACAAACCCCTTCTGCGCACTGTGGTCAGATGAGTTCCTTTCAGCTCACGCTGATAAAGCGTTTATTCTCTGTGTTTCATCAGTCGTTTGCGAAGGCAAATTTCTCTTTTCTTGGAAGGAGTCGATTGCTACCCGAATATACAAAGCTGGCGACTGATCTTTGTCTGGAACCTACAGGGCTATAGACCTCACTGGCGTACGGTGCAAGGTGATGGAATTCGTTCTGAGGTGGGTGATCTTAAATCAATAGTCACTAATGACTTGATATCTCCGATGCAGCACGGGTTACTCACAAGTCGTTCTTGCAAACATGGTCGTATTTACAGACAGCTTAATCCTAGCTAAAGACAAAGGATTAATATGGGATACCATATTTTTCAACTTCTCAAAGACTTCGATTGAGTCCTACATGTCCCGCTGCTAAAAAACGTCGAATCTTATGGGATTTAAGGGTAGATCCTGGATAAAGTCGTCCTTATCAGATGTAGAATATTTCCAGTGAACGTAGGCTCAACCAACACTGCTTTGGCGCCGGTTCCGTTAGCGTTATTCAGGGCTCTGTTTTGTGACAAAAAACTGTCAGGCCAATGATGGCACGGCACTGCACGCAACTGGTCCATTCCTCTTCCCAAACAAGCCCACTTGCCTATGCCATCGATTGACCCCAACCACCACCACGACATTTATTCCAACCTGTTGGACTTCTCGTTCGAATCCAACCACCTTTGTGTTCTCGTCCAAACTAACCCCAGCATTTAACTTTCCTGCGACAGTGCAACCAGTGAGTCTGCTTGTTCTCAGATTGCACCATATTTTTGAGACTAAACTTGCCATGTTCTCCCAATTCGAATAAACGCATCTTCAACTCCACTTTATCTTGTTGTGACCCCGGCCATTTACCCAACCGCCCAAGGTCACTCGTGGCCAGCAGTGGTTTTCCAGTTTTAGTTCATGTCAACCGACCGAGTCTTTGAATAAGTCGGACCTCACGCCCATTGTTCCCTACAAGTTGCGAAAGAAACCTGTTATCATTATTTCATCGAATGCTCCTCGCTGTTCACAACGTTGTCCCCATTTCGCGGAATCCCCACTAGCCGCAAATCCCCCAGCCACATGCCCCATTCTGTCTGTAAACGCATGATAATGGCCGAAGGTATGCCACCCACAAGTTGGGAAATAAACATTATTATTATTTCTCTGATCGACGTCAACGACCTTCCGCATCCCAAATTTCAAACGGCATCGCCCTCCAAATGGATGTAGACATTGCAAATAATGGTCACTGGACTGGTGCCTCCCCATGAATGAAGAAAAGTGCGTCCATATGCCATTCGGAAGGGAATCCGCGAACGCCTTTTCGTGAGTGTTGGAA